CAAAAGGGGCAAGGGGTTCCTCGTAGAATTTGGTTCAGGGTTTAGGGTTCAGGTTTCAGGCACGTCGCAGCCAACCTGCCACTGCGTTTCGCGCACGCGAAAGTATGTGTGGTGAAGCCAGCCCCTGCAGTCGTGCAGCATCAATGTTGCAGGTTTTTGTGCTTGGCTGTCAATACCAAAGATGTCCATTTTGCCAAGGCATTCCAAGCAGTTGATTGACATTTCAACAGTTCGTTCATCAGTCCCGTGCAGAGTTTTCGTTGACTAGTCCAAATGTGCGGTTTATGCAATGGCGAGGTTTCAGCCAGAGGAAGGTGACCGTTTCACCGCCATCTCTGGCACCCCGGGCATTGAGCGTGGAGAGGCTTACGAGAATTTGATAAGAGATCGTCTGGAGACTCAACATGACCCAGTTTGGCGCACGGTGAAGTTGCCGGACAACCTCAATGTTGACGAAAATACAACGAACCGGCTGGAAGGCCTGCATCGCCATGTGGTCAAGGTTTTCATTGAGAGCGCGGGGGAGGAGACGTGGCAAAAGGTGACTCGAGGACAACAAAGACAGACGGGACACGATCCTCTTCGCCAGGGCAGCTGTGATCTGGTCGTGATGCAAAGCATGGACATTGTGCAGATGCTGAAGCAGCAAGCGCGGCCCCTCTTTGGGGGGCAAACGTGGGAAGCGGCTCCAGACCGTCCTGCACTGATCGAGGTCACTTTCTGTTCTGCGCTGATTTGGCTGAAGGTGTACCAACTTGAAAGATTCCTGACGCTGGTTTTATGCATGGGCGGGGTTGCAATCGAAGTTGTCTCAGCAGGTGTGATCATCAATGGTCAGCCCCTCACCTGCGAGTGGGCAGAAGGATTGCAGCACTTCCCAAAAAATGGCCCAGTGCGGACGCTTGTGGAAATGGGGAGGTTCCACATAGTGCACATGCCAATGGCACGAGTAGATGAAGTCGACAGGATCTTCGAAAAGCTGGACACCAAAACTCAAGAGCTGGACACCAAAACTCAAGAGCTGGACACCAAAACTCAAGAGCTGGACACCAAAACTCAAGAGCTGGACACCAAAATTCAAGAACTGACCTCTGCTCGCTCGGAGCTCGTTCTGCGTGGCTGGGTCTCTTGGCTGATAAGCCCAGATTGTTGCCTAAAGCCCCGAACCAGTTGTTGCGGAGTTTCTCCAAGAAAGTAGTCGTGGGTCTGATAACGCGCTGACCCTGTCCAAGGTCATTGCTGGAGTTGCTTGCCTCGCTGTTCTGAGTGTAGTCATAAACATATGTCTTCTCCTACCAATGAGCTCTCCTGGACAGGAGCTGTGAAGAGTTTCACCGATGACAGCTATGTCGCGTATTCGGAGACCTCTGCCCCGGTAGCCTTAAGTTTCCAACCAAAATCCTCCAGAGCCCCGTGACTGAAGGCAGGCTAGCTTTGTCGCGCTGGGCCTAGTTCAATGTCTCGTGGATTGAATTGCACAGAGAGCCTGAGCTGAGTGTCTAATGGTGTAAAAGCGCTGTGACTTGATCGTGGTAAAGTTAATAATTGTCTAGATGTTTCGATGCTAAGTAAAGCACATAATCTACATGTTGCATGATCTCTTCCGTGTTTGTATTATTACAATCTCTCCAGCCAGCCAGCCAAAAATCATAACATTCACGAATAAGCTACTTGGCGATGGTTTGATTCTTGATGAGAGCATTGTTAAATTTCGGAGTAGCATTTTAGTATAATATTAGTTTTTCCTGCTACGGTCTTTGCTGTACCGCGTAAATTTGAAATCACGCTATACAACAACAGCTCATGGCAGACACCAAAGAGCATAAGCCGTTCATTACCGCGGTTATGTCTGACATTCATCAGATTCTTCATCGCTTGTTTCGGAGGAGCATTTGACCCTCTAGTGATATTCTTGTATTTCCTTCTATCCGCCCTTGTATCAATATCGTGATTATGAAAGTACAAATGTAAGAACATTCTCTGCGCTTTCTTCCCCTTTGACCAATGAATGTTATCATCAAACTATTTCATTGATTCTAGTTTGTTCATACACCGGTTCACATATATCAATCGACAACTTGTTTTTTTAACAACCCTTGCTTAACAATTGTCAAACTTGAAATGTTGATGTATATAGGTGTTATTTCTTTAAGCGTTTTCTTAAGAAAATTTTCATCAAAAGAAAATTAAACTTTTAACAACTCAAAGCGTAAATACGCTCTATTATTGCCTTCAACATAATAATATTTTTGACC